AGCCTAAGAAGTTAATGTCTTCTGCACTTTGAGAGCTTCTCTTAGGGCTGCTCATGGGCACTTGAACCGTAAGCCTGGCATCATTCACAGAAAGCTTGGACTCTGGGTCAGGTCGACCAGATTAGAATTTCTGCTTCATCACTTTGAAGCTGTGTGGCCTTGGGCAAGCCTATTCATCTCTCCTGACTTCAGTTTCCCTACCTGCAAAATGGGTGCTGAAGCTAAAAAGGCACACTTGTCCTTGAGGCCCTTGATCTGGTGGGGGAAAGACAGATCTATCCACAAAGCAGAGTCCAGTAGGGGGCAGGTGCAGGATCCTAGAGGTGGCCAAGGGCAGGAAGATTTTATTGGTTCTGGGGTATAGAGGAACCCAAGTTTGGAGCCAGTGGGGTAAGAGAGAGGCAGGAGGTAGACAGATGGAGATCAAAAGCCAAGCCTGTGGCCAAGGGGGCTTCGGTTCTGGGGTATAGAGGAACCCAAGTTTGGAGCCAGTGGGGGAAGAGAGAGGCAGGAGGTAGACAGATGGAGATCAAAAGCCAAGCCTGTGGCCAAGGGGGCTTGCTAACCCTTCCCCCTGTGTTAGCCTATTCACTCACTGGCCAGGCTTAGCAGGCAGGCTCCTCACCTCCTGGCAGCAAATGGTCCAGAATGTACCTTCACTGTAGCCAAGCTGGCTCCAGAAGGGGTGGTGCAGCAGGCCCGAGTTATGCGTGCCCAGTGCTTTCTCCCAACCACTTTACAGAAAAGTGCCCTGCAAGGGCACTAGAGGCAAGATCCAGGGGCAGGTAGAGCAGCCCTGGGTTTCTGTAGCATCATTCTCAGCCATGGCTGCCTTTGGGAACTACCTAGTAACTTTTGAAAATTCCCAGTGCTCAAGCCACACCCCAGACCTACTGAATCAGAAACTCTGAGGACGGGGCCCAGCCTCTGTGATTGAATAGCCCTTCTGGTGACTCTAATGGAAGCAAAATTAGAGAACCACTGTAAGTGATGCCTGGTTGATTGATTTCAATCCATTGCTGATAGAAATAAGTTGTGAAGGCTTTGCCTTTGGAAAGCAACCAGAGTAGTGGTTCTCAGCCCTGCTGCACATTGCAGTCACCAGTGTTGCTTTCACAAAGCCAGGCCTGCGTCCCATCCTCAGAAATCCTGATGTAACTGGTCCGGATGCAGCCCAGGCAATGGGGAATTTGAGCAGCTCCAGGTGGTCCTAAGGCGCTGCCAGCACAAGACCCACTTCTCTAGAGCCTATGACTATGTGGATCAAGTGCTGGCCCTTCCATCTGTGCCTGTTCTACCCGCTCCTGAGTTTCTGGTGGGGGCATAGGAACCAGGAACTCTTCCCTGGGCTGCCGACGAGATCAGGATGCAGGTGCCTGGGGCTCATTCTGGAGCTGCTTCGAAATGGTTGCACACCTCCCTCCATCACTTCCTAGCAGTGTGGCGGGCTGGGTCAGGCCCTCTCTCTGAGCCTCAGCATCCTCTTTGGCTCAGCAGGAGCAATTCCTCTGTCTGACCTCATGGGGTTGCTGTGAGGGTCTAGAGCTAGGCTGGATGAGGATGTAGGGTGGGAGACTTGCAGCCTGCACGCTTGATATTCTTAAATACCCGGACTTGTTCATGACACACCATCCGCTCTTTCCCAGCAGCTGTGGACACAGCAATCTCATTATCTGTGTGCTTGGCGTGGGTCGGGGGAGGGAGTGGGGAGGAGGGATGACCACACCCCAGAAGAGATGGCCACTTCCCTAGTTCTGATAGATTCAGGCCACACTGATGTGGACTAACAACCCCTGTGCTCAGAGCAAAGGCCATTGGCACAGGCATGGACGGGGTTGTATGGCTGCATTGTCCTGGGAGAGAGGCAGCGCAGCAGTGCGCCTGGCAGCATGTGTGCGAGCCAACCAAGGCCTGGGGAGATGGAGTGCCCCGCTGAAGGCCACATGGCCAAGAAGTGGTGGAGCTGGAGGCAGATGCCAGGTTGGATGGAGTTTCTCACTGAGGGTCACACAGCAATGGAAGCAGCAACACCAGGGTAAAGGCCAGGTCTGCAGACTCAGTGCTGGCCTCTCCCCATCTTGGCTACCATATGTCACAGGGCAGGTGGGGTGGCCTAAGTCACTGGCCACCCAGATCCTAGAACTGGGGACTTGGCCAAGAGGCCTCCACTCAGAGTGGGGTGAGGAGCCGGGGTCACTCCTGAGGCACCACCTGGCAGCGGTTCAGAGGCTCCTGAAAGGCCCTCCAGGCCCTGACCTCCTGCTTTCTTCCCTCTCCACCCTCCAGTTTGCTACATCTCGGCCTTGGTCTTGTCTTGCTCACTCACCTTCCTGGTCCTGATCCGTTCGCTGGTGACACACAGGTTGGTGGCAGAGCAGAGGTGGGAGAGGGGTTGGAGTCCTGTAGGCCTACAGGACCCCTAACCCAGGAGGGCCTGTGGGGAAGCCCTGGGCTGCAGGTGACCCCAAGCCCACCTGAGTTTGGCTGCACGGTGGTAGAAGGGGAAGGTGGGGCCTGGGCCTGCCCGTGGGGTGTTCCTGTCTGGTTGGGGAAATGTCTGTGAGTGACACAGGGCACTGCTATCTTGGGGGTGACATGTGGAGTTTGCCTGGGGGTTGGGTTAGATAGGAAGGCAGGCTGGGGAAGCTGGCATTTACCTGTGAATGGAAGAAGAGGGCTGAGGTTGAGAGGCGGGGATGGGCCTGCACTGGGACAGTGTGGGTGAGGAGGGGCCTGGTGGGGACAGTGAGACTGTGACAGACACTGGACACCAAGCTGCCAATCTTGCCCTTTTGTGGTGAGTGAAGAGAGGCAGAGAAGAAGGGGGTGGTCCGGTCACTTAGCCATGAATTTGACAGCCCTCAGAGTTCCTGCCCAGGGATCGTTTCCCACAGGGTGGGCCCTACTTCTTCTAGCATTCAAGGTCCCCCAAGTCCCTGCCTGCCTTGCTTCCTGCCCTGGTGGCTGAGCTGCTTGTCACTTCCATTCTCACTGTTGTTTTCCCACTTTTCTGACTTGGCTCAGGTTGAGCCTTCTGCCTGGTTTTGTCTCCTTTAGTCACCTTTAAGATTCTGCCAGATATCACCTCTTCCAGGCAGCCCTCCCTGACCTTCCAGGTTGGGTTAGTGGCCTCCTCTGGGCTCCCACATCTCTGGGCTTCCCTGCTGATGGCCATGGATTGTACTTAGACCGGGAATTTTGTTAGAGGCTGGCCCAGAGGAGGAATTTAAGGAGTGTGTATTGATCCCTGAGGTCCCTGCCTCCCTCACTCCCACTCCAGGGCCAACCTTCAAGCTCTGCACCGAGGAGCTGCCCTGGACCTGGGTCCCCCACCCCAAGGCCCTCCCGCCTCCCGCCAAGCCATATTCTGTTGGCTGAGCTTCAGTGCCTACCAGACTGCCTTCACCTGCCTTGGTGAGCCCCACTTGCCCACTCCATCCATTCTTGACCCGGGTCCCACCCCAGACACAGGCCCCAGCGGGGGAGGGGAAGAGTGGTCAGCAAGTTCTGGCTGCCCTGAGTGTTTGTCTGTGATGGGTAGGCTCTGGGGCAAGAGCAAGAGCAGGGACCCACCCTGCTTCCTCTGCCCTCAGAAAGGTCACTCAGGTTGGGGGGTGCAGGAGTCCTCAGGGAATGGGTACCCTTTACATGAAAATGAATTCTGGGTGCCACCATGTGTTTACATGGAGTGTGGACCCAGATCTGGAGGTGGCAAGTTCAAGGTGGCACATAGCTGGTCGTGTAAAGGAGGGCTGTGCCGTAATGAGCTGCCTCAAAAAGTAATGAGCTCCCTGTCACTGGGGGTATGCAAACAGAGTTCTGTGGACATGGTTGGGAATTGCAAAGGGGGTCCTGCCCTGAAAGAGTTGGACCAGATTCCCGCCCCGAGTTTCTGATTTTCCCCTCAGGCACTGCAGTGAAGAAGCTCTGTGAAACATGTGGGCTGGGGCCAGCTTCACAAATCCAAGGACCTGATTTCTCTCCCTTTGGTTTCTTTAGTTCTCACCTCCCTGGAGGAGGAAGAGAAGGGTGATAAAGGAGTGGAGAAATTACTAGCAGTAGAAGTCATAATTTCTTGTTTTGGTAGATGTTGTACCTCCCAAGCCCTTTTGTACACATTATCCTATGTAATCAATTGGCCTGATTGTTTCAGTAGACAATTCTCATGCGTCTACCACATGCCAGGCTCTGGCTGGTAGGAATGCAAACATCAATTTAAAATGTGGTCTTGTCCTCAAGAACTTGGGAACAATTTGGGAAAAATAACGTTTGCAAGGCACTTTGTGGTTTTCAAAGAGTTGCTGCACACATGATCTCATTAGATCCTCATGACAGCCATCTGAGGTAGGGACTATTATCCCCATTCTACAGAGGAAGAAACTGAGGCTCAGAGAGGTTAAGTAACTCATTCAAGGCAGCACAGCTAGGCAGTAGCAGAGCAGGGATCTGAAACCAGGTCTTACCAATTCTGAAGCCCTTGGAATTCCTGGCAGTGGCAGGGGTGGGCCAGCTCCCATAGAATCTGGTATCTGTCCTTGCCATTCCCACCCCCTGGCAGGGCTCCTGGTGCAGCAGATCATCTTCTTCCTGGGAACTACAGCCCTAGCCTTCCTGGTGTTCATGCCTGTGTTCCATGGCAGGAACCTTCTGCTGTTACGATCCTTGGAGTCCTCGTGGTGAGTGAGGCAATGAGTGGAGGGCTCTGGGACCCCTTTTCAGAGGGCTGCTAACAGTGACCACCTTCCCTTCCCCACCTGCAGGCCCTTCTGGCTGACTTTGGCCCTGGTTGTGACCCTGCAGAACATGGCAGCCCAGTGGGTCTTCCTGGAGACCCAACATGGACGCCCAGAGCTGACCAACCGGTGAGGTGGCTCCTGGGCTTGTGGCTCCCTCAGGCCCTCAGCCTCTTCTTCTTCAGTGTCTCTCTCTTTTTGTGCCCTTCTCCCTCCACTGCCATCTCTGCCCTTTCTCCATTAGGGAGGCCAGCAGATGGTAGAAAGAGCTTGCCACAGAGAAAAGGGACAGTGGCCTAAATACATGTCAGGGGGCCAGAAATACCCCCATGGGTCTTTCTTGCTTTGGGAGTCAGTGCTGCTCTCTGCCAGATCATCTTTCCTCTCAAAACCATGCAGGAAGGAGGTTCTGTGTCAGATGGCAAGGCTGTGGGAGAACCTCTTTCCCAGGAAGGACTTGGAGTTAGTGTACAGGGGACCCAGAGGAGGGAGGTGGGAGACACCAGGATAATAGAAAGACCCAGGTGGACATGGACTTAAATCCCAGCTCTGCCACTGAGTAGCCAGATAGCTTTGGCTGAGTCTCCCAATCTCTCTGGGCCCCAGTTACCCTCCTACAGAAGGGAGTAACACCACCAGTTTTCCAGGGTGGTGGGTTGAGAGCTGGAAGGCCTGGCACAGGGTGGGGCACACAGAAGGCATACTCGATAAACAGTAGGTGCTTGATAAATACACAGCAGCTGTGGGCACCTAGGTCTGACACTGACCCTGGAGAAGGGGTGCTGGGAGGGGCTGCCTCAACCTTTCTTGTCCTGCCCTGCCAGGCGAGTGCTGTACGCAACCACCTTTCTCCTCTTCCCCCTCAACGTGCTGGTGGGTGCCATGGTGGCCGCCTGGCGAGTGCTCCTCTCTGCCCTCTACAATGCCGTTCACCTTGGCCAGACTGACCTCAGCCTGCTGCCACCAAGAGCCGCCACTCTTGACCCGGGTAAGGTCCCTGGGCAGGGGCTGGGGGTTGCTCAGGTTGCCTAGGCAGTGAAGGAAGGGTCTACCCTGCCCTGGTCCATGTGCCCATCTGTTCCTGGAGGATGTCTGTAGCCACGTGCAGTGTGTGCCCTGCCGAGTGCACATTTTTCTGCAGGGTGTGTGCTGTGTGCTGCTGTGTCTTGGCTTCGCGTGGTTCCGAGGTGTGTGTGGCAGGCGTGTGCGACGCGTGGGGTGTGTTCTGGCAGGTGTGCACGTGCCCACATGCATTGTGCTGGCCACGTGCTGGCGTGTCTACCTGCTTGGGGGCAGGGTGTGCATGCACACTCCCTGTGTGTGTGTTAGGGGGCGTCTGAGCTCCTCTAGACTGCTGGAAGCCCCTCCTCCCCAGCGCTGCCATCTCCCATCCCACTCCAGGATACCACACATACCGAAACTTCTTGAAGATTGAAGTCAGCCAGTCGCATCCAGCCATGACAGCCTTCTGCAACCTGCTCCTGCAAGCGCGGAGCCCCCTGCCCTGGTCCCCGGCAGCCCCCCAGGACGGCCTCAGACCGGGAGAGGAAGAAGGTGAACCCCCCACCCCCCACTGGATTGGGGGGGAATCGAGTCTACCCAGCTCTCCCAGGAAGGAGGCATGCTCCCCTTCCCAGCACACAGAGTGAGCGCCAGGAAAATTCTCACTTCCTCTCTCCCTCAGCTGCCAGTGGTTGCCCCTCCTGGTCCAGTCTCGGGGTAATTTTTTCCATGATATGAACACACATACACACACACGCCCAATGTGTGTGCACACACAGAATGAAATGGCTACCTTGCTAAGGGGCTCTGTCATGCTGACCACCACTCCAGGCCAGCCCCTACCCCCCACCTCTCCCTCAGGGAGTGTGACCTCCTCCTGTCCAGGAAGTGTGTATCAGGGAGGGCGACAAGCTCCAGGCCCTTGTCCTGGTTGGACCTCCAGTCTCTCCTCAGGCCTCATCCCCTCCCTCTTCTGTCTGCCGCCTGCAGGGTGACATCTAAGCCTTTGCACACTCCCCTCCACAGCCCCATGCTTCTCCTCACGTCCCACTCTGAGCCGGCACATGGAAACCAGGCTCACCACTCTCACTATGCACAGGATTTTCAGACTCTCTGCTCAGGTCTGGGGGCCAGGGAGGCTTGGCTGGATGTTTGTTGAGTGACTGACAGAAGGTCTCGCCCTCTCAGGGATGCAGTTGCTGCAGACAAAGAACACCATGGCCAAGGGAGCAGGGTCTAGGGCTAGCCGCGCCAGGGCCCGCTGGGGTCTGGCCTACACGCTGCTGCACAACCCGGCCCTGCAGGCCTTCCGGAAGACGGCCCAGTCAGGTGCCCAGGCCAAGGGCACCCAGTCCTGAGGACCGGAAGGGCCTTCTGTGTTGAGGCACATTCCCGCCTACCATCTACTTCCTTCTCAGCTCTCCCTGCCATGGCAGCCCTCCTCTCAGCACCCACTCTGCCAGCAGGTCCCCTGGGACCAAAGCTCCAGTGAGGTGGAGACTTCGGGGCTGATGGGGAGGCAGTGTGAGGAAAGCGGTGGGGGCAGGAAGGGCTGCCATATTGGGGCTGGTGAGGGGCCGTCCTGATGCGGGCATAATGAGTATGCAGAAGGGAAGGGGATGGAGATGACCGGGGCCCCTCCCCCTGCTGGGTGCTTGGTGGAGGTGGGGGATGCATGAGTGAGAGAGGTGTTCTGGCTGTGGGGTCCACCGTGGGGCTGGGGGCTACAGAGGGTGGGAAAATGTGGCCACATCATAAATTGGAGTCAGCAGGGCCTTGAGAAATGTCTGTACAATTAGCAGAGCCCAACAGTTCCCAGGCCCACACCCACGTTCCTGCTGCCTCCTCTACAGCCTCAAACACTTTTGAAGCCAGGGGAGGGGCCAGGGAGCTCAAACCTACCTTTAAGCCTGCCCCAGGGTCCAAAGAGGCCATGCTGTGATCCCGCCACAGCCCACTGAAAAATGTCCTGCTGGCCCTGTGCCAACATCTGACAGGATCACAGGGAGGAGAACCCAGATTCACTCTCTGCCCTTGACAAGGAAACAGAGTCACAATAGAGTGGGATCAAGCTGGGTCACTGGACACCCCAGGGCTGCGTGAGATAGAGGAGGGGGCCTGGTTCACACTGGGGGTGGGAGGACATCTAGGAAGACTTTCTGGAGGAGGTGATGCCTGAGCCAAGTCTCAAAGACTGACTTAGCCCAGTGAAGAACAGGGAAAGGGTGCCCGGACTGAGGGAACAATGGCATAAGTAAAAGTGCAGAGGATGACATGTCACAGAGCATTAAGGGAACAACTAATTAGCAGTTCCAAGAAGAGGCGCAGAAGGTGGCGACATCAGAGGAGCCAGTTAGAAGGATCACAAATGGCTGGATGGGGAACTTTTGCTTCACCCCCGGGGCAGTGGGGGTCACTCAAGACTTTAAGCAGGGAGTAGCTAGTTTACTTGGGACATGACTGTTCCCCACGCTGCCCCTGACTCAGGTCTTAGGAACAGGTCCTACTTCAAGAAGCCAAGCCTGCTCAGCTGTGGATGGAGCCAGAGACCAAGAGTCCAAGTCAGGTTAGGATTATCAAGTCTTAGATCATCGGAGTCGATTGGACCCTTAAGCAGTACCCTGTCCTACCCTGTCATTTGATTTCAAAGAGAACTGAAGCCCAGAGATGGGCAGTGACTTACTCAAGGTGGCACAGAACATGGGATTCGACTCCATCCTGCTGCTTCCCCCCAGATGTGGAGTCATCCTTATTGAAGAGGGGCAGGGAGGCAAGTTGCTGGGGCCAGACAGGGGAGGTGGTCTATGGAAACCAGGAGCAGCGGGGAGGGTCTGGCCTGCAGCCAAGACCAACAGCTGCCACCCCAGACACATTGCCTCCTGCCTCCTCTGTGCCAAGTGCAACAGTCCTGGGGGCTCTGGGCATTGTCTCTGTGTGCAGTACCCTCAATCTTGAAAGGGGCAGGATGGAGGCAGTAGGGAGATGCATCTATGACCTGGCACAGGTACAGTGTTCTGTAGAGTCCCCAGGTTCTGACCCCATCCATGTGCTCCGCATTCTGAGAGACCCATAGGTCTCTGCCAGCCCCACCCCTCACCTCAGGTCAGTTTCTGATCCACCTGCTCCGTGGGGAAAGATTCCTATGGGGGCCTGCAGTCTTCATGTGGACTTTCCTCTTGGAATACCATTGGCTTTTCCTTACATAAGTTCTCTTGTTCTCAGTCCCTGGGGCTTTCTCTCTCCCCTGTCCTATGTCCCTGTCTCCACCCTCTACAGCCTCAAACACTTTTGAAGCCAGGGGAGGGGCCAGGGAGCTCAAACCTACCTTTAAGCCTGCCCCAGGGTCCAAAGAGGCCATGCTGTGATCCCGCCACAGCCCACTGAAAAATGTCCTGCTGGCCCTGTGCCAACATCTGACAGGATCACAGGGAGGAGAACCCAGATTCACTCTCTGCCCTTGACAAGGAAACAGAGTCACAATAGAGTGGGATCAAGCTGGGTCACTGGACACCCCAGGGCTGCGTGAGATAGAGGAGGGGGCCTGGTTCACACTGGGGGTGGGAGGACATCTAGGAAGACTTTCTGGAGGAGGTGATGCCTGAGCCAAGTCTCAAAGACTGACTTAGCCCAGTGAAGAACAGGGAAAGGGTGCCCGGACTGAGGGAACAACGGCATAAGTAAAAGTGCAGAGGATGACATGTCACAGAGCATTAAGGGAACAACTAATTAGCAGTTCCAAGAAGAGGCGCAGAAGGTGGCGACATCAGAGGAGCCAGTTAGAAGGATCACAAATGGCTGGATGGGGAACTTTTGCTTCACCCCCGGGGCAGTGGGGGTCACTCAAGACTTTAAGCAGGGAGTAGCTAGTTTACTTGGGACATGACTGTTCCTCACGCTGCCCCTGACTCAGGTCTTAGGACCAGGGCCTACTTCAAGAAGCCAAGTCTGCTCAGCTGTGAATGGAGCCAGAGACCAGGAGTCCAAGTCAGGTTAGGATTATCAAGTCTTAGATCATCGGAGTCGATTGGACCCTTAAGCAGTACCCTGTCCTACCCTGTCATTTGATTTCAAAGAGAACTGAAGCCCAGAGATGGGCAGTGACTTACTCAAGGTGGCACAGAACATGGGATTCGACTCCATCCTGCTGCTTCCCCCCAGATGTGGAGTCATCCTTATTGAAGAGGGGCAGGGAGGCAAGTTGCTGGGGCCAGA